CGTTCACCGCGGCTGGCGCTCACATCGAGCTGGAGGGAGGAGATGGGGGTGGAGATGGTTTGTTATCCCTCCGGGGCAGTCCCGCGGACAGATGAGCTGGAACTGAGTCGGGCCTATGTTGTGACAGGTCCGTTCTCATTGCCGATGACTATGAACTAGCCAGCCCGTGTTCCTCGTCTCTCCCTCGTTTGCAATTCGTCACACGTGACGTAACTCTCAGAATGTACCAATATTCAAACTTGGCTAAAACTGGGATGGACTGTGAGGACGTGAGGAAAGGTCTTCTTTCTGCATCTGCCACTTGTCGACACGACGTTGAGAATCGATGATCTAGAGTGTATCATTTTAACGTCGTTCTTGGAATGGGGTTTTGTGGTTTTGAGCCCGATCAGGGTTTCCTTTTTCTATGTGCCGAATTCAGAGGCTCCTTTCTTGGTTCTCTAAAAGCTGCTGTCGAAAACGGCAATAAAGAAAAATGGGTGAGATCGTCTAAGACATAGATATTATGCTACTTTGCGGTAGTTGCTATCTTTGTTTGCAGCTTAAACACATCGATATGCTGCCAAATGTATAGAATAAGAGAGTTCGAGGATAAGGCTATTTTTTCAGCGTTCTTGACCATAGAGAGTTCTTCGCTGTAAGCAAATGGTTCTATCATCTTTGACTTTTTATGTGTTTAATGTGGTCTGACTGTTTTTAGCATACTCAAGAGAGAAATGTCACAGGTAACATTCCACTGATTATGAGACACTTTCATCTGAGTCAATAACTGTACTAGAAAACACTATAGATTTGCAGTGGCCTCCCATTACAGGTTGGAGGGTCACCCCAAACAGACGCCCCTGTCAGGTTTGTGTCTATGTGTTGGCAAGCATTTCAATACCATATCTTTGCAGCTGACAAAAGATATGTTGGACTCCCACCAGAGAATTCCTTATCCCCCTATGATCAAGTTGAAAATTCAACCCACAACTTTCAACTTGCGATCCACTGAAGTTCCAGTGGAGATAGTTGGCATCAGAGAGGCAAGAAAGACATTCATACTGAATCCAAAATTACGACCAGGTCAACAACATGCATACATATTACATACATTATACCATCTAGTCAGTAGTGTAGTGTATTGTGGGGCGAGTCTGATGATTTTCCTATTGTACGTCCGAAATATCACCTATAATTTCGACGTGCACATGTGTAATACTCCAAGTAACAACCACTGACACTGTATTACTTTTTTGGTGTGTAGCCATTGTAGTTGGAATAGCTGGCAAGCCTTCATGGTTTGGCCTTCTTCCTTACTTTTTTTGAATGAGCAAAGAAAGGGCAATCGACAAAGCAGAACTTGAGCAAAACAGCGAAAATTACTCATGCTGCTAAACTCGAGCTAGAACTTAAGTGCAAATAAACTCATACAGGCTTAAAATGCATAATAAATTATACGTAATTATTGTGCATACTGCATAGGGAATGAGGAAAATTGTTGATTTCTCACCCTCAGGGACTTCGCTATCATCACCAACTTCTTCTGGTCCATTCAGTCCACCGCTCCAGTCCCCACAGACTCCTCTAACACAGTCACTTGCAACAACACGTTCACTTTCAAGCTCTTCCTCTCTCTCAGACACTGCCACTGGAGCTCCAAAACTTGATGATGTAATCAGTCGTAAGTCCCTTGCTGAAATAGCCAAGAAAATCACCCACTGGGAACCTCTGGGTCCATACCTGTACCTCACTAGACCACAGGAAGAGGAGATTGTCCAAAAATACAGGGACTATGGAATGCAGAAACGAGAATTTCTGGAGGTGTGGAAGGTGATGAAAGGAGAAGGGGCCACGTACAGAGCCCTCATCACCGCAACAGAGGAAGCAGAAGACAGGCAGTTGGCGGACTGTGTGAGATCACTGCTAGAGAAATGAACCACCATTGCAAATGTCTAGTGTTGTTGCTTGTGCACACACTGAGAAGTCTCTAAATCCCAGAAGTGGCTGTGGCTCACGTTGGAGCCCACACGTCACCATCACACATGACGGCATGGCACATGCTTGGCGCCGTATACGCATGCACACTGACTCAAATCAGGAAACACTGGAGCGTCAGGGCCTACCAGAGCCTCATACGTCGTAACAAAGACGGGAACTTTTGCCTCAACATCGATGGCCGCGCGGACAACCCTACACCGGCTAGGCTTACTTCGAATCGGCAAACTGCGCATGCGCGGTACCGCTAATTGATGGGGGGCTGGGCTATTATGTATTAGTATCAGTTAGGAGCAGACGGGTCAGGAGGGGGCTCAGGAGAACGTTTTCTCTTCCTAGGCGATGGGACGGGCTCGAACTGCAGCCTGGCTCTCTCCGGCTGCGCTCCTCTCGGCCCCATGTTTCCACGGGATGATGAGCACGGCCCGTTGACACGAATCCAGTAGACCTTCATCATGCGCACAACATCCGACATGCACCTTTGCGCAGTAATTAGGGTGTGTTGCGTATGGTCACGGAATATTTGGACCCCCGTTCCGCCGGAACGAATATGTTATCCCCCCTGAAATACGGGTTCCCCCGTACACACCTACTGTCAGCCGTATTGTACCTGCACCTACGGCTGTACAGGGAAGAATGACACACTCCTGTTGACGCTGTCGGAAAGAGGGGCTTGTACCAAGATGAGTCGCACTCGCAAAAATGAGTCAGCCAAGCCTATCGGCTTTACGCATGCGCACCACATCAAGTGCCGGGCGGCCGGCAGGCACGTTGTGATATGGTAATCAGCAATGTCCTGGGGGCAACCACTGAGTCTTGCAGATGTGGATCAATTGGTCCAGACCCTAGGCCCCCTGACAGAGGAGCAACTGAAGACACTGAGGGCCCAGCTCTGTCCTGGAGATGTCTCTGTGGGCGACACGTTGGAGGACGTTCTTCTGTACTGGATCGAACATGAGTCAAATCCCACGAGACCTCTGCTGCAGCAGAAACTACAGGCTCTTGTTCCTGAAAGCGAAGGTACAGTATAGAAATTGCTCTGTTCGTGCGAGTATTGCAATGTGGTTTGTGTTTTAGGAGCAGAGTTGCCGGACGAATCAAAACCTGGCATAGTTAAAAGATTTTTGGGTGCTTTTTCTGAGCGTGGAGTAAGTCAGCACAACTGCTGTATGATAAGCCCATGCATAAGTATGGTGTCTTGCAGAAACGACTGGTGAAGAATGCAGAGATCAAAGATCTCATCGACAAGTGCGGAAAAGGCAACAGGGAAGCAGTTGGTGATCTTTTGACGAAAGTCAAACCCAACGTGGTCGATGTACGGTCTATTTCCCTGACCTGTGTGTTAGTTGTTTAATGGGAGTCTATTTATTCACCAACAGAACAGACAGACTCCGTTGCTGGCAGCTAGTCTGATGGGTCATCTGGACATTGTGAAAGACCTTGTGGCGGCTAAAGCAGATGTCAACTTTGTCACTGAAGGAAGGGTAGGCCGGCTTTGGTGTTGGTAAATTACAGTAAGTATGCATCTATGCCCCTTGAAAGGCTGGGAGGCCGGCACTGAATGCTGCATGTAGTCGTGGTCGTTATGAAGTGGCTGAGTATCTACTGGACCAGGGAGCCTCTGTCAATGCCACAGATGGGGTTAGTTTGATACCAAGTACAGTTAACACCGTCCAATGAAACATATGTACTTTTGTTCCACAAATGTCATAGCATATCTTTTGTGAAAATTTCCACACAAAAGGGTATATCACTACTAGCTTAGCACTGCTTTTACTTCTTGCGTTCATTTGTTATTTAGGACCAGTTTTCAGCTCTCCATGAAGCCACTTTCAACGGCCATCCAAGAGTGGCCAAACTACTCATCGAGAGAGGAGCGGACATTGAGAAGAAATCTAATGTAGGAACTCTACATAGTCCATTGAGGTCTATCTATATATTATTGAGGTGCACAGGATGGGAGTACAGCTCTAATGGTTGCCAGTGAAGGGGGAGACGTGGATACAGTAAAACTGCTGCTGGAACACAGAGCTAACTCTTCCCACCGACTGCCCAAGGTTTATCCTGAATTCCATTTGTGCTGTGACAACTGGAATGTTATCTCCTTCCCATGAGCTACCATAATTTTGGTCTATTTTCGATATGTATCTTTTGATAGGAATTATCTCTCACTGTTGCAGTGGGGCAGGACTGCAATCCACAGTGCTGCCTCCAGGGGCAAAGCTAAGGTGGTGGAACTGCTACTGGAGGCCGCTGACTGTCCTATTGACGACCAAGACAGCGTCAGTCCTAGCCTTATTCCAAGACCGTTTTTCTTTTTGTGGGGGGTAGCGAGGCCTAGCTGAGAGTACATCTTTTGCAGCGCTACTTACCAGCAGCTAAAGATCCCCTTGTTTTTTTGGTTTTATTGCTTACAGATTGTACATCCAACTGGTTCATAATGGCCTAAAGCATATGAATTTAATGTCTCGCACATACATAAACAGGCCGTTTTTCCTTTATAACGCAAAAATTACCTGGAAATTAGACCGTGAGCTTTTTACTGCATTCTGTCTTGATAGGCTGGGGCAACCCCACTTATCATGGCTTTGATAGGAAACACCCCTGGGAAAGTGGCTAGAGCACGTGCCGGCTATCTGGAAACTGTGAAATTCCTCGTTGGTGCAGGGGCCAACCTCAATATCCAGGACAAGGTAATCAACCACTTGCTTGCCAATGTGTCTATAATAGCATCATCCTATCATTCTATATACCTGTAAAAGAGAGCGTTTTAGCTGTTTTGTTTGTGCATCATCCTATCATTCTAATAGGAAATGGGTGTAAAAGTTTAGCTGTTTTGTTTCCGTCTTGCAGACTGGGAAGACAGTTCTGATGTTTGCTGCCAAGGACAACCGGTTGGAAGAGGCCAAAGTACTGGTTGAAGCTGGAGCTGACCTCAACATACAGGACCAGGTGAGTCAGTGGGTGTAGTTCGTATCCTTCACTCCTTCCTTTTCTACGTACAGGAGAAGGGCTGGTCGGCAATTTTCTTTGCTGCTGAGAAAGCAGATGTACCGATGGCTCAGCTCCTCTGTGAAGCTGGAGCTAATCTTGATCTACGGAACAAGGTATTTCCACTTTTTAGTTAGTATATGCATGGGTTCCACCGAGGGCAGCTCTTCTCTTTCCTTCTCTAAAGAGTTGTCCTGGGTGTAGTTGATTTGCTTGCCTTTGCTTTGCTTTGACCTCGTTGTTGGCATGCACATTATCTGTAGAAAAAGAAGAGTGTCCTGGATGTGGCAAAGACCTATAGTCCAACAATCCACGAGATGCTGGAGAAGGCAAGTCAGAGAAAAGTGTAAGGAACACATTGATGTTGTTGCCACCTTAGATTTATGCATAATATAATATCAGAAACCTGGGAAGGATAAAGGCAGAGAAGAGATTAATTCTCAAAAACAAAGAACTGAGGATGACACTGCAACCATGGAACAACAAGTGAGTGGGGTTTCTATTTCCCAGACTGTACATTAATATCACTGCCACAGATGCCTCCTTACTACAAGTATGACGACAGATACCCAGGAATAAGGTTCTTTGGAAATCCGTGGAAGCAGACGGTCACAGCGGCTGGCGCTCATATCAGCTGGAGGGAGGAGATAGGGGTGGAGTTTGTTATCCCTCCCGGGGCAGTCCCTGCGGACAGAGAGCTGGAACTGAGTGTCTGGCCATGTTGTGATGGTCCGTTCTCATTGCCCGATGAGTATGAACTAGCCAGCCCTGTGTTCCTCGTCTCTCCCTCGTTTCAATTCTCACGTGACGTAACTCTCAGAATATACCACTATTCAAACTTGGAAACTGTGGAGGACTGTGAGGAAATGGTCTTTCTTTCTGCATCTGCCATTTCTCGCACACAAGAGAATCCAGTGTATCAGTTTAAAGTCCTTGGAAATGGGGTTTTTTAGCCCGATCAGGGTTATGGTCGAATTTCAGAGGCTCATTTCTGTCTAAAAGTTGCTGGTCGAAAGCGCAAAAAGCCCTCAGACAACCCCCCTGATAAAAGAAAAAGGGGTGAGATCTTTTAACATATATTATGCTACTTTGTTGGTATTTTCTTTGCAGCTAAACATCGATATGTCTGCCAAATGTATAGAATAAAGGAGTTCGAGGATAAGGCTATTTTTTCAGCGTTTCTTGACCATAGAGAGTTCTTCACTGTAAGCATTGGTTCTATCATCTTTGAATTTTAATGTTTAATGTGGTCTGACATTTTAGCAACTCAGAGAAAATGTAAAGGGTTATTCCACTGATTATGAGACACTTTCATCTGAGTCAATCAGTGTACTAGAAGACACTATAGAATTGAAGTGGCCTCCCATTACAGATTGGAAGGTCACCCCAAGCAGACACCCCTGTCAGGTTTGTGTGTATATGTTGGCAAACATTTCAAATACCATATCTTTGCAGCTGACAAAAGATATGTTGGACTCCCACCAGAGATTTCCTTATCCCCCTATGATCAAGTTGGAGATTCAACACAACTTTAAACTTGCGATCCACTGAAGTTCCAGTGGAGATAGTTGGCATCAGAGAGGCAGGAAAGACATTCATACTGAATCCAAAATTACGACCAAGTCAAAGTACTACAACACGCATACATATTAAATACCATGTAGTCATTAGTGTAGTGTATTGTGGGGCGAGTCTGTTACACATTGTACGTCCAAAACCCCCTATAATTTCGACGTGAACAGCCAATTATCAGTGCCTATTAACATTGAGGAGTCCGCAGTTATGTGAGTGCACATCATACAGGCTTGTCCCATGATGGAATGCATAATAATTATAATTGTGCATACTGCATAGGGAGCGAGGAAAAATTTTGGATTTCTCACCCTCAGGCACCAGTCCACGTTACTCAGTATCATCATCAACTTCTTCTGGTCCATTCAGTCCACCGCTCCAGTCCCCACAGACTCTCCTAACACAGTCACTTGCAACAACACGTTCACTTTCAAGCTCTTCCTCTCTCTCAGACACTGCCACTGGAGCTCCAAAACTTGATGATGTAATCAGTCGTAAGTCCCTTGCAGAAATCGCCAAGAAAATCACCCGCTGGGAACCTCTGGGTCCATACCTGTACCTCACTAGACCACAGGAAGAGGAGATTACCCACAAACACAGGGACTATGGAATGCAGAAACGAAAATTTCTGGAGATGTGGAAGGTGATGAGAGGAAAAGGGGCCACGTACAGAGCCCTCATCTCAGCAACAGAGGAAGCAGAAGACAGGCAGTTGGCGGACTGTGTGAAATCACTGCTAGAGAAATGAACCACCATTGCAAATGTTTAGTGTTGTTGCTTGTGCACACACTGAGAAGTCTCTAAATCCCAGAAGTGGCTGTGGCTCACGTTTGAGCCCACACGTCACCATCACACATGACGGCATGGCACATGCCTGGCGCCGTATACGCATGCACACTGACTCAAATCAGGAAACACTGGAGCGTCAGGGCCTACCAGAGCCTCATACATCGTAACAAAGACGGGAACTTTTGCCTCAACATCGATGGCCGCGCGGACAACCGTACACCGGTTTACTTCGAATCGGCAAACTGCGCATGCGCGGTACCGCTAATTGATGTGTGTGGGGCTATTATGTATTAGTATCAGTTAGGAGCAGAGAGGTCAGGAGGGGCTCAGGAGAACGTTTCTCTCCTAGGCGATGGGACGGGCTCGAACTGCAGCCTGGCTCTCTCCGGTCGCGCTCCTCTCGGCCCCATGTTCCACGGGATGATGAGCACGGCCCGTTGACACGAATCCAGTAGACCTCATCATGCGCCACATCCGACATGCACTTTGCGCAGTAATTAGGGTGTGTTGCGTATGGTCACGGATATTTGGACCCCGTTACGCCGGAACGAATATGTTATCCCCCTGAATACGGGTTCCCCCGTACACACCTACTGTCAGCCGTATTGTACCTGCACCTACGGGCTGTACAGAAGAATGACACACCTGTTGGACGCTGTCGGAAGAGGGGCTTGTACCAAGATGAGTCGCACTCGCAAAACTGAGTCAGCCAAGCCTATCGCTTGACGCATGCGCACCCCATCATTAAGTGCCGGGCGCGCCCGGCAGCACGTTGTGATATGGTAATCAACAATGTCCGGGGGGCAACCACTGAGTCTTGCAGATGTGGATCAATTGGTCCAGACCTAGGCCCCTGACAGGGGAGAAACTGAAGACACTGAGGGCCCAGCTCGTCCTGGAGAGGCTGTCGTGGCGACACGTGGAGGACGTTCTTCGGTATGGATCGAACATGAGTCAAATCCCACGAACCCTCTGCGTGCAGCAGAAACTACAGGTCTTGTTCCTGTAAGCGAAGGTTACAGTATAGAAATTGCTGTTCGTGCGAGTATTGCATGTGGTTTGTTTGGGTTTTTAGGAGCAGAGTGGTGCGGACGAATCAAAACTGGCCATAGTTAAAAGATATTTGGGTGTTTTTCTGAGCGTGGAGTAAGTCCAGCACAACTGCTGTATGATAAGCCCATGCATAGTTGGTGTCTTGCAGAAACGACTGTGAAGAATGCAGAGATCAAAGATCTCATCGACAAGTGCGGAACAGGCAACAGGGAAAGAAGTTGGTGATCTTTGACGAAAGTCAACCCACGTGGTCCATGTACGGTCTATTTCCCTGACCTGTGTGTTAGTTGTTTAAGGAGTCTATTATTCACCGACAGAACAGACAGACTCCGTTGCTGGCAGCTAGTCTGATGGGTCATCTGGACATTGTGAAAGACCTTGTGCGGACTAAAGCAGATGTCACTTTGTCACTGAAGGGAAGGTAGGCCGGCTTAATTACAGTAAGTATGCATCTACCCCTTGAAAGGCTGGGAGGCCGGCATGATTGCTGAGGAGTCGTGGTCGTTATGAAGTGGCTGAGTATCTACTGGACCAGGAGCCTTGTCAATGCCACAGATGGGGTCAGTTTGATACCATGTCCATAACACCGTCCAATGAAACATATGTACTTTGTTCCACAAATGTCATAGCATATCTTTGTGAAAATTATCCCACAAAAGGGTATATCACTACTAGCTTAGCACGCTTTTATACTTCTGCGTTCATTTGTTATTTAGGACCCAGTTTTCAGCTCTCCATGAAGCCCACTTTCAACGCCATCCAAGAGTGGCCAACTACTCATCGATAGAGGAGCAAGAGAATGAGAAGAAATATATGTAGGAATGCTACAATTCCATGGAGGTCTATCTATATATTATTGAGTCCACAGGATGGGAGTACAGCTCTAATGGTGCCAGTGGAGGGGGAAACGTAGAGACAGTAAAACTGCTGCTGGAACACAGAGCTAACTCTTCCACCGACTGCCCAAGGTTTATCCTGAATTCCATTGTGCTGTGACAATGGATGTTATCTCCTTCCCATTAGCTACCATAATTTTGGTCTATTTTCGATATGTATCTTTTGATAGGAATATCTCTCACTGTCTGAGTGGGGCAGGACTGCAATCCACAGTGCTGCACTCCAGGCAAAGCTAAGGTGGTGGAGCTGCTACTGGAGGCCGCTGACTGTCCTATTGATACCAAGACAGCGTCAGTCCTAGCCTATTCCAGACCGTTTTTTCTTTTTGTGGTGGGTAGTTTAGCGCCTAGCTGAGAGTACATCTTTGCAGCATCTACTACCAGCAGCAAAGATCCCCTTGTTTTTTATTATTGCTTGCAGATTACTATCAACTGGTTCATAATGGCCTAAAGCATATGAATTGAATGTCTGCACATACATAAACAGGCCGTTTTCTATGCAAAATTACCTGGAAATTGGACTGTGATCTTTTTACTGCATTCTGTCTTGATAGGCGGGGCAACCCACTTATCATGGCTTGATACGAAACACCCCCTGGAAAGTGGATAGAGCACGTGCCGGCCATCTGGAAACTGTGAATGTCCTCGTTGTGCAGGGGCCAACCTCAATATCCAGGACAAGGTAACTCAACCACCTGCTTGCCAATGTGTCTATAATAGCATCATCTATATCTACCAGTAATCGGTGTAAAAGTTAGCTGTTTGTGTTTCCGTCTTGCAGACTGGGAAGACAGTTCTGTGTTTGTGCAAGGACACGCGCTGGATGAGGCCAAAGTACTGGTTGAGCATGGAGCTGACCTCAAACTACAGGACCAGGTGAGTCAGTGGTTTGTCGTATCCTTCAATCCTTCTTCTACGTACAGGAGAAGGGCTGGTCGGCAATTTTCTTTGCTGCTGAGAAAGAGATGTACCGATGCCTCAGCTCCTCTGTGAAGCTGGAGCCAATCTGATCTACGGACAAGGTATTTCCACTTTATGTATGTGTTAGAATCCCACCAGGGGCAGCTCTTCTCTTTCCTTCGAAAAAAGAGTTAAGGTCCTGGGTGTAGTTGATTTGCTTGCCTTGCTTGCTTTGAATCGTGTTGGCATGCACTTCTATGTAGAAAAAGAAGAGTGTCCGGATGTGGCAAAGACCTACAGTCAAACAATCCATGAGAGCTGGAGAAGGCAAAGTCAGAGAAAAATGTAAGGAACGCATGATCTGTTCCACCTTAGATATGCATAAATATCGAAACTGGGAAGGATGAGCAGAGAAGGATTAATCTCAAAAACAAAGAACTGAGGATGACGCTGCACGTGAACAACAAACACATTTGTGGTAGTGTTCTATTTCCAGACTGTCATTAATATCACTGCCACAGATGCCCTCATACTCCAAGTACGACGACAGATACACGGAATAAGGTTCTTTGGAAATCCGTTGGAAGCAGACGGTCACAGCGGCTGGCGCTCACATCAGCTGGAGGGAGAGATAGGGGTGGAGTTGTTATCCCTCCCGGGGCAGTCCCGAGGACAGAGAGTGGAACTGAGTGTCTGGCATGTTGTGACGGTCCGTTCTCATTGCCCGATGACTATGAACTAGCCAGCCCTGTGTTCCTCGTACTCTCCTCGTTTCATTCTCACGTGACGTCTAACTTCAGAACTGTACCACTATCAAAACTTGGAAACTGTGGAGGACTGTGAGGAAATGGTCTTTCTTTCTGCATTGCCACTTGTCGCACACAAGAAGAATCGAGTGTATCATTTTAAAGTCCTTGGAAATGGGGTTTTGAGCCCGATCAGGGTTATGTCGAATTTCAGAGTCATTTTGTCTAAAAGCTGCTGGTCGAAAACGCAATAAAAGAAAAAGGCGGCGTGAGATCTGTTAACATATATTATTAATGCTACTTTGGGTATTTTCTTTGCAGCTAAACATCGATTATGTCTGCCAAATGTATAGAATAAAGGAGTTCGAGGATGGGCTATTTTTTCAGCGTTTCTTGACCATAGAGAGTTCTTAGCTGTAAGCATTGGTGTCTATCATCTTTGAATTTTAATGTTTATGTGGTCTGACTTTTAGCAACTCAGAGAAAATGTAAAGGAACATTCCACTGATTATGAGACACTTTCATCTGAGTCAATAACGTGTACTACAAGACACTATAGATGTGCAGTGCTCCCATTACAGTTGGAGGGTCACCCCAAAACAGACGCCCCTGTCAGGTTTGTGTCTATGTGTTGGCAAGCATTTCAATACCATATCTTTGCAGCTGACAAAAGATATGTTGGACTCCCACCAGAGATTCCTTATCCCCCTATGATCAAGTTGAAAATTCAACCCACAACTTTCAACTTGCGATCCACTGAAGTTCCAGTGGAGATAGTTGCATCAGAGAGGCAGAAAGACATTCATACTGAATCCAAAATTACGACCAGGTCAACAAACATGCATACATATTACATACATTATACCATCTAGTCAGTTAGTGTAGTGTAGTGTGGGGCGAGTCTGATGATTTTCCTATTGTACGTCCGAAATATCACCTATAATTTCGACGTGCACATGTGTAATACTCCAAGTAACAACCACTGACACTGTATTACTTTTTTGGTGTGTAGCCATTGTAGTTGGAATAGCTGGCAAGCCTTCATGGTTTGGCCTTCTCCTTACTTTTTTTGAATGAGCAAAGAAGGGCAATCGACAAAGCAGAACTTGAGCAAAACAGCGAAAATTACTCATGCTGCTAAACTCGAGCTAGAACTTAAGTGCAAATAAACTCATACAGGCTTAAAATGCATAATAAATTATACGTAATTATTGTGCATACTGCATAGGGAATGAGGAAAATTGTTGATTTCTCACCCTCAGGGACTTCGCTATCATCACCAACTTCTTCTGGTCCATTCAGTCCACCGCTCCAGTCCCCACAGACTCCTCTAACACAGTCACTTGCAACAACACGTTCACTTTCAAGCTCTTCCTCTCTCTCAGACACTGCCATGGAGCTCCAAAACTTGATGATGTAATCAGTCGTAAGTCCCTTGCTGAAATAGCCAAGAAAATCACCCACTGGAAACCTCTGGACATACCTGTGACCTCACTAGACACAGGAAGAGGAGATTGTCCAAAAATACAGGGACGGACTATGGAATGCAGGAAACGAGAATTTCTGGAGGTGTGGAAGGTGATGAAAGGAGAAGGGGCCACGTACGAGCCTCATCACCGCAACAGAGGAAGCAGAAGGACAGGCAGTTGGCGGACTGTGTGAGATCACTGCTAGAGAAATGAACCACCATGCAAATGTCTAGTGTGTGCTGTGCACACAATGAGAAAGTCCTAAATCACAGAAGTGGCTGTGGCTCACGTGGAGCCCACACGTCACCATCACACATGACGGCATGGCACATGCTTGGCGCCGTATAGCATGCACACTGACTAAATCAGGAAACATGGAGCGTCAGGGCCTACCAGAGCCTCATACGTCGTAACAAAGACGGGAACTTTGCCTCAAATCGATGGCGCGCGGACAACCCTACACCGGCTAGGCTTATCGAATCGGCAAACTGGCGCATGCGCGGTACCGCTAATTGATGGGGGGCTGGGCTATTATGTATTAGTATCAGTTAGGAGCAGACGGGTCAGGAGGGGGGCTACAGGAGAACGTTCTTCTCTCTAGGCGATGGGACGGGCTCGAACTGCAGCCGGTCTCTCCGGCTGCGCTCCTCTCGGCCCCATGTTCCACGGGATGATGAGACGGCCGGGACTACGAATCACAGGCGACCTTCATCAGGCGCACAACACACGACATGCACCTTTGACGCAGTTCATTAGGGTGTGTGCGTATGGTCAGGACATAACGGCGCAACAGAACGGCCATTGGACCCCGTTCCGCCGGACGGACGTAATAGGTATCTGCTGAAATACGGTTACGTCCACACTACGTCAGCGGAGTGTACCGCACCGACGGCTGTACAGGGAAGCATGACACATCCTGTGACGCTGTCGGAAAGAGGGGCTGCCTACCACAGATGAGTCGCACTCGCAAAAGTGAGTCAGCAAAGCTATCGGCTTACGCCCATGCGCACACATCATGTGCGGGACGCCGGAGGCAGGTACGTTGTGATATGCTAATCGTCAATGTCCTGG